TGCAATCTTAACTAAAAGTTGTGGTTCACTTTATCTGTATTAAAATGGAGAAGAAATTCGAAGTTTTTCATATATATGTGGAGCACCCTTGACTTCTTAAAAAATTATATAATTGATTGATTTTTCTTAACTGTTTATCAACTATATATAAAACTTTTAAGCTCTTTAAACGCTGTGTGAATTTTAATATGTAGCTTTTAATAAGTTACCAGGCTTAGTCTGTCTTTAAGAGTTAAATGAAATCCAATCTTTTTTTTTAACTTTATATGATAAAAAATATATATATATTTATAGGGTATAGAAAAGCTAGAATTTTCTTTTTTTTTAATCTGCTAGCTTTTCAAATTTTGAACGTTAATCAATTTATTAAACATTTTACTTTTCTATAGTAAAGATTTTTTTAATATTTACTAAAACTTTAAATAAAAAAAATTTTTTATATATACTCAAGACTTTTACGTTTTAAATAATTATACATACTAGTAAACTTTTTACTTTATATATATAAGGGGTATATTTTTTAAACAATTTATTTTTCTTTTTAATTTTAATTTATAATATTAAGTTTGTCATTTAATATTAAATAACAGCTTTAACAAAATCATATAAAAATCTCTTACTTTCTTTACAATAGTGAATGTTTTGATAAGACAATTCGTTTTAATCTTTGACTTTAGAAGTTTTGTATCATCTATTCATATAATATAAAATTAAGTAAAACTAGATATTCCAATAGTTATTTATAAATAAAAGTTTGCGTCACATTTATAAAAAATGATATTTTATTTTTGTGGATACGCATATAAAAACTTTTGTGTATTTAAGGGAAATAGCTTAAAGAATAAAAAAGATAAGCGGAGGACGATATTGTAGTGACGCGAAAGTTAAAAGAAAGTATTGAAGAATATAATTATACTTTTCAATTAAATATATAAATAGTATACCCTTCTGTAAGCGAATAAAAAATATTAAGTGAAAATATAATTAACACTATTCAAAAGCTGTAATTTATAAAGATTTATAAAAAGGATTAAAAAACGTACTAATAACTAAAGTGTCTACTAAATTTTAGCTATGAATAATAAACTAAGTTAACTAATATAAATAAGAGGTTTAGAATTTATGAATAAAATAAATTTTTATTTAAGAATTTCTTATTATAATATATTATAAGTGAAAAGTAATTATAAATTTGTTAAAAACTAAAGCGTAAAAAGATTGCTATATGTAAATACCAAACAAAATATAGTAAGGGCTTTTGTATATTGATAATATATATCTATACATAATTTATACAAGGTATTTTTAGCATTTCCTATATATTTTGGTACTACTAAGTTCTATTTTTTTTATATGAATAGTTGTTTAAAATGTATACTAAAAACTAAAGCATTCTAGATATTTAAATATATATATATTAAATAAAGGCTACTTTAAATAGTACTTTATTGCTCTAAGAACCCGTTTGTTGTGTTGCTAATAATTAATAATAAGAAAAAAAAGTACTTTTTTTATTTCTTTAAATTAATATTATTCATTAAAATATAAATATAGTCAAACTTTAAAAGTGGAGGTAAGGGTGGGGTTTAGCAAAAGTTGTACAAATTTTTGCAAAACAGGACAAAATATTTATATATTATGGTTGGTTTCTCCTGGCATACACGAGACCAATTTGAACTAATTGCTAAAGTCTATGAAGCACGTTATTAAATTATTCATCCAAAAAAAATACTTAAAATCTTGTATATTGATATAAATGAGATCTCAAAATAGTGGTAGTCATATTTGTCAGTATAGCTAAAATAATAAGTCCTTGGAAAAAGTTTGATAATATCTATTTTTAAATAAAACATAAAGAAAGTATATAAAAAATTATACTTATGAGTTAGTTAATATTAAAAGTGGAAATTTTGTAATATTTGACAAACTGGAAATATTTTTCTGTCATGATTGGTTCCTCTTGGCGTACACGAAACCATTTTAAACCAAATTGGACATCCTAGAGTGAACTTCTGGATTTTGGCCCGCCAAAACGACCGGAGGTGGCTCAGCTGTGTCTCAGAAAGTCATATAAGAGAATAACTAATGTTTTCGTCCTTTTTCGTTCTACTTTGGTAGAACAAGATTATTAGCAATTCTAAAGTATTCGTTATTTTTGTTCTCCCGAAGTGGAACTTTCTTCTTCCTTTAATTACTCAAATGGATTTCCTTAGTTATCGACATGTAAGCCTCTAATGTCAGGTTACCGTAGGCTAACTATTGTCAGTCCTGTCTTTTAGAGGGGGTTGCAATCTCCTCCCTGTTTAAGACCTTCCTCTAGCGAGCTAAGCTTATTTTTCACTTCTACTAGTGTAAAGAGTTTTCCCTTTGATTTTTCTACAAGCAAGCCTTTTGTTATAATACCGAGTGAAAATTATTTTATTAAAATATATCATAAAATAGTAATAAAAAAAATAATATTTATATATTAGAGCAAAACTAAATAGTTTTAAAAAAAAAATTATAAATTTAAATTCAAAAATGGTTTAATAATTAACAATGTTAAAATTAATTTATTATATAAAAAATAAAAAAATACATTGACCAGAAAAAAATTTTTTAAGAAGTATTAAGAGCGATAAAAATAATAGTAAAGTTAAAACTAATTAATACTAGTAAGAAGTTTTAAGTTAATATTTAAAAATAAATTAAAGCGGAGAGGAATTTATAATACTAATTAAATTTATATGAAATTAATTCCGAATAAAACATTTAATATAAGACTATATTGTAAATTATTTTTAGTAAAATATCATATTTAATAATTTAAAGAAAAAAATTAAAAGAAAAAGTGGTCCAAGCATAAAGCATATTAAACAATAATTTAAATTTTTAAAATCAATAAAAGAAAAATTATTATAATATAAAATAAATTAATCTCTAAATTCAAAAAAATTGTAACATATAAAATTATAAAAAAAAAAGAAATTAATATACCTAAGAAAAGCGCAACTTAAAATTATTTAATTTAGATAGTAAACTTTAATTTAGCATTTTAAGTAAATTTTCAAAATTTAATAGGAATCTACAAACTTCTTTAAAGGCTTTGTAAATCGCAAAGTAAACATTTTTTAAATTTTTTTCGTAAACTTCAATCAGATGTTTGACGAGATTATGATGTTCAGCTTTTATTTGACTGCATACAAAAAAAAAAGAAAAAAAAAATTAATTACAACTTTTTTTAATCAAGGAAAAACTAATTTTTCTTTTGATTTTAATAATAATAAATGGTAATAAAGTATAACAAAAAATTAAAAAAAAATTAAAAATTTCGATAACATATTTCCAAAAATATATATTTAATCAAAGCTAAAATTTATTATAAAGTTCTACTAGTAAGAATCTTAAATTCTATTTAGAAAACTAAAAAAATTATTTTTAAAATGAATATATAGTTATACCAGTGAATTACTTCTTATCATATATAAAAGTTACTGTTTTAGAACAAAGAAACTGTTTAACTTTGCTAACCTTTTAATAAATAGTAATATTATAAACTTTTCCTAAATTGTTTAAAAAAAAAAATTTAAATAACATAAATATTACAAAGCCTAAGATCTATCTTCAACATTACAAAAAAATAGGTCACTAGTTACGACCTCTAGGAAAGCACTGCACTAAGTGATTATCGAATTTAAGTTACTCCACTTTCTTCTCACATTTTCACGAAATTATAACGTCCCCCTCTTTCGCTGTTAGGCCTGCTTTATCTTTAAACTTAGTTTTCTCAACAGGGATTAGACAAGGACAAAAAGCATGTATTAAAGCCTTAGTTGGTACATGGGAGGAAGCAATGATGAAAGGTTAATAAGAGAAAAGGGATTGCCTCACATCGTAAAGATATATAGTTCCACTGAATCAACTGCACTTGATTCTTCTTGGCTGTCCCTTTAATAAGCTCTAACTATTTTCGACTATGTAAACAGTCTTTTCAGTCCTCCACCTAGTATAGCATCCCTTGGTAATATTTCTGGCCCATTTAAGTTGTAGCAAGTACCGGTAGCATAAATGAACCAAAAAACTTATACTTAAGAGTCTAGACAGTAATAAAATTGAAAGGTATTACACCACGTTTACAGATTTATAACTAATATAAAGTGGTAACTAGACATAACACTGGTGCAAATAACAGTAATATGAAAGCATTGGTTTTGTTAATTTAAAACAACGTTAAAAACTACCAGAAAATTGGGTTCTCAAACTTTTTAGCAGTTTATAAACCGGCACAATCACTTTGGTTAAAGAACACTCTATAAATAAGCAATACATCTCCGCATTAACTACATAATTCTCTTTCTAGCCTAGTAATGACAAACTATTGTGTTGTTAAAAACAATTCGCGTTTGTAGTAGTCTCAATTAATTTCAATATTTAAAGCCCTTAATTTACTCGTCTTTAGCGCTACCAATCAGAGAATAATTATAAACTATCGGGCATGTGATGTGCGTTTGAAGTTAAGTTGTTTAAGTTGTGAATAGTATTGGTGTTATAGTCGAAGATGAAAGGAGTTTTAAACCAAGTAAAAGAACCAAAAAAACTTTTGTCTAGGGCTAAGAAGTTGGCGCAAGAGAGGCTGCTTAAGAGAATATTGTCTTTACTTCTCTTTTTATTTGTTCTAGAAGCTTTAACAGGCTCGTTTTCATAGTTCGCCTTTACGAAATTGGGTGGTCAGGTAACCCTATATTTTCAAAGCTTATTAAATTCTGGAATGACAGAAGAAATTAGCGAATTTTTACATCACTCAATATCTAGTCATGGTTGTTTATATGTATTTATTAGTCTTTCTAGATGACAACGAAAAAAGCAATATTTTTAATGTAGACTGGTTGCTATTGTGCGTTTTATTTTATTGGTTGGGAGACGTAAAGTTTGACTGGGAACTTTTTACACTATAACCAGTTATCTTTTGCCTTGAAGCCCTTGTTAAAGAATTTACTCCGATCGCCCAGGGTGTTTTGGGTTTTAAATAAACTTCTCTGTTTTTATTGCGGAAAGGGCTATTAGTCTGCCTTCTGGTGAATAAATAATTGTGAGCTTGATTTCAGACTGCTTATTTTAGCATATCAAAGGTCACGCAATGATAAGTTTTATTGCACTAAGTTGCATTGCTTATAGAATCCAGAAAAGTTGGGGCTGTAATATTATTAATAATATTCAAAACAATAACTTTTGTAAATGTTATCTATATGACACACTCATTTGCTGATGTTTTTGTGGGCGCTGGACATGTGCTGCTATTAGCTTTTTGTTAAATGTTTTTTTTGATCTCAGGTAACTTTTAATTAAAAGGTTTCTTTAAAAAAAGTAATTTTTTTTTTCCCAGATCCGACAAGTTCTGGGGTTTCCTATTCTTTTTTATTTTAATTCCTTTATTAGACGTGCTCGACTTTTGCTTTTCCTCTCCTGGGTCCTTGACAGAATGGTACTCTAGAAGAAGGATCCACCCACCGTCTAATGCTGTCTTAAAATTCTATTAGGCGAATTAACATGGCTCGCTCCTGTAAAGTGGATTTCAGCTTAACCTCTTTATTGAGGGTTCTACTTAATATTAATACTTCAAAGCTACTTGCAAAGCTTCTTCTAAGGAAGGACTTTATCGGCACCAGTACCTTCGGTTATCTTTTCGGTGCTCTCTCACGGCGACTTCGACAATGGTGGGCTTCGCTCTGCAGCAAACATTACTAGCTAATATTGAAATCCTCAACCGGCTAGATACTGAGCTTGAATTTTTTCGTTATTAAAAAAAAAATCTTATATAAAAAATCAGGCATTTGCGGGTTTCTTCGGTCACATACTCTTTTTAAAAGTTTTTTAGCTTTCTTCAACTGACCGACTATTCCCAGCACGCTTATGATGCGTTCCTCCCTTTATGAGTGCTTTTTTAGCACCAAAACCTTCATATTACGTCAAAGATTTACTTTTAAAAATTGAGGCATATTTGTTTAGAAGAAAATTAACCAGCATTTCTTATATATTTTATTGTAAGAATATACACAACTATTATATAATGAAAGAATCACAAGGTTTCTGTCACCGATGTAATAAAATATTTTATAAAATAGCAGCGATTAAGAAAACATTATAGCGAACGATAAAGATTGAAAAAAAAAAAAATTTATAAATAATTGTGCTTGCACAGAGAAAGAATTTCCTTTAAATAAATAATTTCGTAGTGGGGATTATGGCGAATCAAACAGTGAAGTTTGAAAGTTCATATATTGAACAAAACGTTAATAAAAGTACGAATTACTTGATACCTGTCGGCTGTGATATAAGGAATCTCCACGTCGTCAGCTACCATGCCCGTAACCTCAAGGGCATTTCCAGGCTTGTTCTTAAGAAAATTGCTGAAACGCAGATTTTACCATTACTGTTATCACTTCAGCTCCGTCATCTGGAAGTAGTGAGATGGAGTGCGCTCTCTATAAGTCACTAAACTAAAATAATGCAAAACCAATTATGACCTCCTTTAGGACTGTCTCTTCGTGGCAGGGGTAGTTAACACAAATCCCAAAAACTCTTACAAAGTGTTAGTTGAATTAATCATTAAGTAAACTACAACGTGGACTTGTAACAACAAATAAAGAATAAACACTTTATTCGGCTAATCTCAGGCTTTCTTAAAATTACCTATTAAACCATTAGTTTTTTTGAAGTAACCCATATTTATATAAACTTGATTATTATAAATAATAACTTTTAATTTTAAGAGACAGTGATAGACCTAATACGTAAAAAGACTGTCGACTAGTAAGTTTAAAATTGAAAAATATAATTAACGCCTATTTAGCGCTATGAGAACCGCACTAGGCAAACTTTCTTTTTAAGGAAACCGCTTCTTAACGGTTAAGTAAGCAATAGATCACTCCTTAAAGTTTTTTAATTTATAAAGAAAACAGAAGCAACTTATAATGAAGAGCGAAATCTATTCAAAGGGTAGCAGTAATTATGTACGTAAAGTACTTGATAACGTCTTGTATAAAAAATTGGTGGTAACGTGTAGGCTCCTCAACTTTAGTTAAGCCCGAAAGTTTTAACCTGAAATCTTTCATAATTAAGGAAGATGATAATGCATAAAATTAAAGCCCTCAATAGGCGTAAGTTGCAAGCTCTAGTTTTTAAGAAGTATTAGGCGCTAATGACATGAGAGTACACGCAAACAGTGTTAATGCAATCAGCGTCATGACCTAACACAACTCTAGCCTTCTGTCCACCTAATTCTATTGATTCTGAACTAAGTCAACTTAGCTAATATAACATTTAACCAGTTATACTACAACTACCCAGCCTTCGCGCAAGAACAAAAAGATCTGTAGCTTGTATGGCTATGCCAGATTATACTAAACAGGGTAACTACCGTATAACTCAAACCTATCCAAAATTTTAGCAGTTATATCGTGTAGTGTGTTAAAACCTTAAAGCTCTTTGCGGTACAAGTCAAACCTCAGAAGCTAATAGTAACCATAAAAGGTTCCATAAGCGTTAACTACAGTCTTATGGATAACTATATAAGGCCGTTTTCTGAACCGCATTGTAGGTCAATCAGAGTTAAGTAAATGTTTTTTCCAAAGCGATTAGTTCTTAATTCTGCCATGTAAATAACTGAGATGATATTCTTACCCCAACAAAGTTAGCTAGTAAAAGTTATTAGTACTTAAAACCTTAATAATTGATTCACTGTCCTTTTGAGTTGGGCGTCCACTTTTTGGTATAGTATGAAGTGTAACAGATTGAGATTAAGAGAAAAAAATTATTACTAGATTTGCTCATATAATGAAATTAAATTAAATATTATATAAAAGTGAAATCATTTAATAAAGTAAGAATTGAGAGAGATGATAACAATGGGCCTCCAAGCTAACTAGTTTGTGGGGTGAAAAATGGATGTGTTGGTGCCACCCAATTTTACTTTCCCGGACTTACCTGTTTGATTATAGTAATTTTTATTACTTTTTTTATTGGAAGTGGCTCGCACACCTTCCTATTAGCTTTATAGGCATATACTTACAATGCTAAACAGTCTCTAGGGGGGCCTAGTGCCAGCGACCGTCGCATATTCCTTATTGATCCCTCTACAATTTTCCAGTACAGTGGGCTGGATGGCAGGGGTCTGCGCGCGGTGATCAATATCTCACTACCCTGTAGGCCCTTTAGGAAACCCCGACGCCTCTCTCTGGTGAGTGCGCTGTCTGGAGCTAGAGTCCCAAACACTCAATAAAGGGGAAACCACGGCCACACGTCTTGCTCTAAACCCTCACTGCAATAAACCGGAGTAAGTTAAAGCTCGCGGTTGTTTACTCCTGTTTTTGTATATCGGGGTTTTTCTTATCTTGTGGTAAAAAGGTTTGAGTTTCGATTTATATGAACGGAAACAGCGAGCAGCCGTTTAGATTTTTAAGAGCTTAGACAAAAAATTACAGATCTACCTCTCAAAAAAAGCTATCTATAATAATCATTTTTTTTGAGTCTCCAGGGTATGAACATATGCAGAATTCAATAAAGAATTGGCTTTTAACTTGAGCGTTTTTGTATGTTAAAGATGAGAGAAGAGCAATAAACTTTGATCCACTCGCATTCGCAAAAAAAAGTTAATGCGTAATAACGGTTATATTAGCACACTTGAAAATTTTACTTATGTATTAGATTTAATTCTTTAAAGTTGATGAGCAATTAAGTTTCCGTTTGCATACCTGAAAACTTTACTTAGGTATAATTTTTATTCTTTTATGAACGGGAGCATTACAGAAGAGTTGCAAGTATATTTAGCGCACTTGATGTCATGGGACCAATCGATGGCCGCCAATCGAGGAATGACGTCTAAAATCAGTCGTTTGCAGTTTTCCGAGTTCTTGCGTAGCGTTTCCAAGACCAATTCCACCGACACCTGAAAATTAGCCAAGAAAAAGTTTTAATATAATACGAAATCTTGCCTACGAGGCAAACGTACATGTTCCCCTTCACTACGCCAGCAGTCGTAATCTGTAGCTAAGGCAACCGATGCGTAGAGTAAACCTTTTATTAAACAAAAAGACGCATATAAGTGTACGCCCAGCGAGAATTTTACGCAAGACCCACCAGCCTCGTTAGCCAGAACCACTTCGGGAAACGTTGTCATGTTGATAACGTCCCCTCCCCACGAGCGATACATAAGGCTTTCAGCCCTGGTGCTGAACCGCGGACCCTCAATAGTGATCACAGTCCCTACAGAAATGATGAGGCTCTCCTATTGGGTCAGCACTTTTTTAGCGGTAACTTACCCCCGGTGTGGTGGGGAATACCCAAGCGTGCGGCGCTCTCTTTTAAGGCGTCTCGCAGTTTTTCATTAAAGGGATTTGCGAGAGGAAGATGGCAAATTCCAGGCGGATGACCAACCACTCCGTCATAGAACGTTTGTACCTTATAAATAAGAGTAAAATGAGGTGCCTGAATAGCAACTTTTAGTGGAAAGAGAAAAGTACGGTAGAATAATATTTCTAATTTAGTAATGTAAAGGTCGCTGCTTTCTAAAATAAAGAAGAGAAATAAACGGTGGCCTAACTCTCTTAGTCGTCCGATCGATGGCCTGATCAATAAAGACAAAGTGTCCGGGTTCAATTTCCTGTCTTAGAGATCCACAGGCTGTAGAGGCCAAAATATGCGTGCAACCTTTGAAAATTTTAAAAAAGAAAAATTTCATTGAGTATTTATTGTTAATAAAAGAGTTCTCGAAATTTATAAAGTAGTTAGATAATAGTAGGGAAGAGAAATAACTAAACCTTCCTCCTTTAAAGCCCATATATTGGCCCTAAAGTTTATATTAGTTGGTTGTATGGAATGAGATCGCCCATGTCTAGAAAGTAACACACAATCGACACCTGCAATGGTACCTACTTCCAGAACATCAGAAGGCTACAGATTAAAATTGAACAGAAGTTTAAATTGTGTAAGTGAAGAATAAAGATATAAGAACATAAGCCAACAACTATCATTATTAGCATAAGTTGATACCAAGTCAACAAGAACAAAAATATTGTAAGGTTAGTACAGTACCTCTCCATAAGGAGTGGAAACTTTCTTTTCCTTATGTCTGTTAAAAAACTTCGGATCATCTAAACCAGTACCTCCAATAATGCCGACCTATTAAAATTATTAATGCAGTGCTCAAAAGAAAAAGTTCAATAGAACACAACTTTGAACGCGATAGCCATCTCTGCGTTGGGAATAAAAATCAGTACCTGCGCGAAAAGCACTTAGGTCTTAATATATTAGTTGTCACATACACGACTCGTATTAATTTCACGTGAACCTGTCTCCGTTCATGCAATTTTTGGAGTGGTACCTTTTATATAGTGACATGGTGTTTACCCCTGCCTACGGTACTATACCATATAACTAAGTAGAAAATACACCTTGCACATATATTTATTAACAATTTAAGCAATATATTCTGTGTAGGTGAGTGGTTTTATAGAAAATGGTTCATTAGAGATGGATAAAGGAAAAATGATACACATTAGCACGCCTCATCTCTTCTACTAAACTTCAATAATCAAGAATGTGAACTGCATTTATATCACATTAAAGTTAACAAATATATATATATATATTAGTAACTGAAAATAAAAGCCATCGTCTCTTAAGGTGTATGCAGTTGTATATCGTTCTAAGACTTCCATAAGGCCTATTTTTTCTTCCAGTCAAAGTTACCATGCTTTAGCAATAGGTTTCTTATAAACACATGCCCTAAAGTAATTTTACGAGGGTTTTACACTTTGCGACACCAAAAAAGCCTATTAAACGCAGAGGTTACAAGGTTTTTTAAAAGGTTGATCTTGGAGGTTCGAAGGTTCTAGAACTATATTATAGCCAAGAGTGGATATAATATAAACTCTCAGTTATCTTTATATTTTAAAAACAAGAAAAAAAATATAATATAAGATTTTGCGAAGCTTGGAAGGGCTGTATAACGTATACAGAAGTGCGTATAATACGCAGTCATCTTAAAACTTAAATATCTCTCGTGCTAGTAAATTCACGAAGTTTATGTAATGTGTGGGTTCCTCTCCCGAGGGCGTATCGCTGGAACATTAAAGCGAATGGGTACGTGTTGGCCAGAAGATTAGTATCAGTTATTTAATTATAATTAGCTGTTATTTGACGATTAGAAGTGACAAATTTTAGTATTAAAGTAGGTGTTCGTGAAGGTGGTTTAAGCTGAAATGTTCATTGTAACGTATGCCCGAGGCCTCCATGATTTAAGATAGGTGTAAATAAATATAATTTATAAAAAAATAACGTTTTCAATAAAAATTTGATTAAGGTGAAGTAAAGAACACCAGTTATTTTACTTTTTAGACAAGGTAAAAGTATTTTATCGGTGGGAGCTAAAAAAGCAAGTAAAAGCTTTTATTGCCTTTTCTACGCAGAACGAAGGCAGAATGCAGATGAACGATTCTACCATTTTATTATGTTAATGTGTTATTTGATTATCAGAAAGGAATATATATATATATATATATATATATATATATCCGCTTAGCTTGAAGATGACTACACATATGTCAACGATTGCTTAATCTGTAGCCATTCTAAGTGGAATTTGTGTAACTTGGTTACTCGATATGAACAGTATATTGTCTTGAAAGAGTGTAAATTCGTAAAAATTACTGCGAAGGGCTCGTCGCACTCATTCTAGATATATACTAGGTAATAGCGCTATCTTGTATAGTGCTAGTACTATACTATGAGATACCTAGCATAGTAACTAACACTATACAGCGCAAGTCGAGCCAACCAGGAGCTAAAGAAGCACCCAAGTAAAGAGTACTTCCAGCCCAGAGCTGGCCAAGAGAAGACAATGCTAGTATAATACTAGAGAATTACGCTAATATAATACTAGCACTATTATCGAGTCTTTAGTCAAAAGATTTCACTTATCGATGTTTACAATTAGTTAGTATTAGGACTAGAACTGCGTCCCTCGGACAAGGGATAGTGCTATATTATGATCACCCCTTGCGCCAAGCCTTATATGACGATGCCTTCGCACGCAGTTAGTGACATGAAGTTATGAGTACAAGTGCAACTTAGCAGTTTCTGTCAACAGGATATAGTGATCATATTGACTTTCACAGAAGATTGTCTCCGGAAGGCAACCCCTAGTATATATTCACGATAAATTTTACTCTAATAAGTCACTCGGGTTGAGAGATCTGCAAGACTCATAGTTTCGATACTATTACTCTAGTTAACCAAATGATCAACTAAAGCTTGAGACAATGCATTATCCTGCCTTGTACTGGGAATATAGCACCAGACTATAGATTTATCTGCTACTTAGGTTTTTACCATTTTTAAGAGAATGTGTTCCCATACATACCTAACAAAACCTACGTCTCTCCTAATTAGTAAGTATGCCTCAACATTTTTATATCCAGCTAGGTAACCATATTCACAGCCAAACGTTAACCTTCCAATGAATGGATCTAGAAACCAATTAGTAGATTGCTAAGGCCAGAGATCCCTCGCATTAGTTTACTCGATATTATCAACTAAGTCACCGAAAGAGTTCGACGGTAGCGGGTTACTAAACACCACGAGAGTTTATTTAGTATACACATATGTACTAGTCCGCCTTAGAATGGTAATCTACAGACACAATTCTCTGTTTTCCAAGTAGCAAGAGTCTGCAGAACTAACAAATATAGCAGTCGTGTCTAGAGTGGATCTGATCTTTTTCGTACGCTTCTACGATGTAAAACCATAGAACGACACAGTAATTCTATAATTTAACAAAGAAATGTACTACAACTCAGCGAAAGTCTTCAGATATGCCTAACAGTCCAAGGCACAGACGCGCCTAGCCTACCCACTAAGTAGCTGACCTATGCAGTAGCCAATGAACTTTACTTTACTATAAAGTACAAAGGTCTTACGTTCTGCAGTCAAAGCTAAGTATAAAAGTATGCACAAATTCGCTTCACGAGTGGGAGTGTCACTCAAGAGCAAGTTAATGAGCCTACTCTCTTCTATATACGAGGTTTTCGAGCCCTTAAATATTCTTTATAAAGACACTTTTTTTGCAAAACTCAGTTTTTCATTATTTTTATTTTTGCAATTATTCATTGTATTATAAGTACAGTAAAAATTTTTACTATTATTATCGCTTATTTGATTAACTTATTAAAATTATGCTATATATTTACTATATAAGTATTTAATTTATCATTTAATAATTCTTATTTGTTAAATTTAGTTTTATTAGATTGTATTTAACTTTATTTAAGTTGGTTAGATTTAACTCGATTTAATTTTATTTATTAATTTTATTCTATTGTTTTATACTTAAATTTATATGATTTATTTTATCTAATTTTAAATGTTATAAGGTTAACAAGGAAGGATTTTGTCAAGGTTATAGCCATAGTTAAAGGCTACCGTTAGTCTTGTGTCCCATTTTATAGCTCGTTATAGTTTTATCAGAGCACTATTTAAGTTAACGAGTTAGGTAATTGAGTGTTTTAATTCGAGCTTTGTTTGAGTTTATAATGGTCTTTTAAGATGGAAGGATTCGTAAAATACAAAGCAGATCTGTCCAAGTAACTTTTCTGCTAAATTAGTAAGGGCTATATTACCTTCCTGTGAATGATTCTGAAACTATCTACAATGGCGTCTTTGGGACAATAACAAAGCTATTATTTTAACTTGCTGTGAACAAGCCAGGATTATGATACTTTTTACCAAAATTACAAAATTTTAAGGGTGCCGTAACCGAGATAGTTAAGAATCGTTTAAATTTTAAGTTATTCTAAGCCTTATACGAGTCAACTTAGTATAAATCTTTAAAATGATATATCCTAATATTTATACTGTAAGTAATAACTTTTATTTTACTTTAGTTAACTTTAGTACAATTTATAGTCAAAGTATATAAAGCTGTAACCTACTAGTGCAAGACAGCACTGCAAATTGATTAATTCATAGTAGTAAAGAAGCACTGAAATTTTTCAAGTTATGACTAAACACAGAGCCTGCCTAAATTGTTTAACATAGGTATGCTATACACTTAATAACTAGGCCAGAGGGGTGTATAGGTTTAGTTAAATTCAGTTTGATTAGCCATTAAAATATAAAAATTTATACAAGTTCTCTAGTTTAATTTGACATTTTAATACGAAGGCTTCAAACTAAAAATTGTAAATTCTAACAATTAGTTAAATAAGATTTAGTCATTCAATAATGAGCTAAGAACCAAGCTAGTTTACTATTTTATTTGTTCATTAACAAAGTGAGTCATTTGGGTAAAGATAAAATACTACCGTTTTATTTTCTAAAGCCCAGCTATTTCCCTAGACGGTTTAATAAGGGTTTACCTAACTACCATTGTCGTCAACAATTTTGAGCTTCAGTGTCTAAGCTTAGTTTGTTTTTATCAATCATTTATAAATCTTATCTGAGTAACTTTAGCCACAAATTAGAGTTCATTCTCTTTTGTCTATCAATCTCATAACTAATAGGTCTTATGTTTACCCGAAAACCAGCAGATTATCAAATTGATTAGTATCAGTGTTTTACTTATACATGTTCAAGGTAACACTTTACTAAAGTGAATTTCGTTAGGATAAAGCTAATAGTTATTTTTAAGTATAACTAACTAACAATCTAGACATGTTGGCTAGTTTAATGTTCTATCAAAGTAGAACGAAAAGCAAGCATAATGATTTCCTACTTGTTACTGTTAGACCCTACGGGCGATCTTTTATACTAAAAGTCGTCCCAGAGGCAGAATTGGCTGCCTTCCTGGGATCCAAGTGTAATAGAAAGAAGGTAATCATTATCCTACCTTTGTTTTTTTCGTTCTACTTTGTTAGAACATTTAATTAGCTAATATGTCTAGACTGTAAGTTAGTTAATTATAACTTTTACAAAATAACCTGTTTACCAAATCTAACAGGAAGATACAAGTAATGATATTAAAACTAAAAAGTAATCTTACTTAATTTTATCAAAGTCAAAAATCTAGACTCTGCTACCTGAATAAAACGTGTTGTAGTAATCTACTGCTTAGTTTATAGCATTAACTATTGGTCTATAGATCTGGACAGTCGCTCTCTATCTTGATTCAAGTTCATTTGGGGTTGTAAATTATTTAGCTTGATATTTGTATATATACACATTGGTAACTACCTCTAACAGATTTATTTGCATCTCTGTTTATCATCTCAAAAAGAAGATTTTTAAGTATTAAAATAAAGTCAATCGTGAAACAACAGCAAGCAAGGTAAAATGGACGAAA